GATAACGAAGACACAGACAGACAGACAACTCACTTTTATTAAGTATACAGAAAGTATACAGATTTGTGTGCTTTTCCAGGAATGTATTGTCTAATGATTACTCTCCCTCTGAAAGGAACGAGACTCATCAATGACAACACTTGATCCTGGAGTGTACACTAACCTGCAGCTCTGAGAAACACTGTTAATCAGTGGCTGGATTTTATGCAACTTGTTTTGTCGATCAATTACTTCATTGTCATTAAAACGAAGCATATTCAGTAGTAACTGGAATCTGTCTCTGGACATGTGATTTCGAATGAAAGAATACTTGTATATTTATTTTTTGGAAAAAAACGTACTACTGTGGGACTGTGCGGAAAAACCGAAAAGCATTGCCTCACTCCTTTACAAAGGCCAAGCTGAAGAGAGGAGAAATTGCAGGTTTGATAAACAGCAAAGGAGTGAAAGTTTGCACCTGGAAAGATAAAAGGAAACGTCCTAACGTTGTCTAATGTGCCTAAACATCCAGGCAATCTTCAACCCTCAGGGAAAAGAATCGAAATGGTACTGAGATACTCAAGCCACAAAGTGTTCCGGACTACAATGCTACTAAATGTGGGGTTGACGAATCAGATCAGATGATAGCTTACAATAATGCACTCAGAAGAAGTACGAAGAACTGAACTGAAGTGGTACCGTAAATTGGCCATAGAGTTGTTGACAGGAACTGCTGTAGTAAATGCCTGGGTACTCTACAATCAGTTTCTTAGCCAAAAAAAGACAATGGGTATGACCGAATTCAACGAATATCTAGTCATGTCACTCATTACTGGAAAAATGAATGAAGAAATGCTTCCAGGATCAAAGCGTTCCGATATTGGAGGCCTGCGTTCCAGCCATACATTAGTTGAAGCTGAAGGCCCAAAGCTCAAAACAAGAAAACCCTGCATGTCCTGCTATGAAATCATTGCTAACAATGAAGGCAGTTCAGAAGCGAGACAAAGCAAGGAGAGTGACTACATTTTGTGATTCCTGTGATGGAAAGCCATTTCTCTGCGAATCTTGCGTCTAATTGAAGCATTCACCTCGAGTTTAGTTGTGCTTCCAGATGTCCAGTGTTTGTTTCTTGTATAATTATTCATACTTGTGTCAGGTATACATTTTTTGGCATTGGAATACTATCGTTTTTTCTTTAGGTTTTATCTTGCATTTTTTCTTTAATACCCAGTGAACAACTTGTGCTTGATTTATACAACTTATATTCCTCTGATTAAAGTTTATAACATTATTATATGCTTTTATAATC